AATGCACTTGCTGCACGTAGTCACCCCCTACCCCTGCCCCTCTTCCCCCAGACCCCTCCCCCCTATTTGAACGCGTGTGACCTGAACACGGTTTTTTTGCCCTAGGCATACGCAGGCAAAAGTTGGCAACGCAAGACATCGATCCTGGCGCCGTATTTGGGGAGGGGGAGGTAGCAAATGCAGGAGGCGTGCTTGCGCGTAGGATTTTCCTCAGGTGGACGGGTGAGCTTGTGTGCGGGTGTTCTACTATCGATTTCGATGACGGCTTGTAGACTACTCCGGCCAGCGCACGGAATACCGCCCATGTACGCAATCAAGGCGTAGTGGAACCAAAGGCTACACTTTGGTCCCACTGGAACCATTCTATCTTTTGGTTCTGGAACATTGCCATTAGGGGAGGTGGGTTCGAGGCAGCTGGAAGCTGATAGCGAAGCACCATTGTCATTCAAATGCGGCGGCTGAAGACACTTGGCCTTTCGTTTGTCGTCTATCCAATCTAGGTTAGATAAAAATCTTGCTAAAAACACGCTTAACATTTATGCTACTGAAACGTCATAAGAGAAAGCAATATATATTTTGGTATAGTTATATAGAAGATTTTTCATTTATAGAATTTTATATACATTTTGAGATTTTAGTGGAAGAACATAAGAATATACACATTTTCTTAGTTTTATTTATTTATTTAGGACTGGAAAGAAAAGGCAGGGCAAATTTTTGCCTAGTTTTCTGTTTTGCTGGCGTGACGGGCTAATCATTTGGAGGGCGTTTTACAGCGGGCGGTCCCCCTTGCAGTGTGTGGAATCTCTCCGGGAGTATAATATCCCTTCTGATCCATCTTCGGTGTTGGAGGACTGGCTAGAAAGGTGTCCTATTTTGTTTAAGAATATATGCGTGTTATTATTTGAGGAAAACTGTTTGGTCTTTCTTCTAAATTCAGCTATGCTAGGACTTTTTCGAATATCTTTGGGTAGGGCATTCCATATGACTGCATATCTTATGATGTAGAAACTTGATCGTTGGGCCGTTCTAGTTTTAGGGTTATATATCGTGTGTTCGTTGTTTCTAGTGCGACTAGGACCGTTATGGTTTGTTAACATATTATTGCTAAGGATGTTATGATTATGTGTTACATTAAATAGGACATTAAAACCATTTTGGAGTCGCCTGTGCCAGAGGGGTTTCAGACCATATATATTGTAAATTATTGTATATTAATCTCAGGTGTCTTCGAGTTTGGACAGAAATTTAGTAAAGCGTCCCTGGATTTTTTCTAGTTTCTGGTTGAGTCTTAAGTGAAATTGGTGTGAAATTTTTACTAAGGAAGCCACATAGTCGATTGGCTTTTGGTGCTAT